TGATCGTCTTCTCTCCGAATCCGCGGGACATGAGGTATTCCGCGACTGATGCATGTGAGAGGGTTACCACAGGGTGAGTTTGCTGCCGCATGGGGGCCGCGCTGACAGTGATGAGTCCTTGCAGTAACCCACACACCGTGTTTGCATGTCCGCGCTTTCGCGCTGGGTCGTACACATAATTCTGTGGGTCCGAGAAGTCAAACGCAAGGGTTTCCTCGAGCTCGGGCAGGGTGAGAGGCCTCGCGGAGAAGAGGAGCCAGCGCAGGACCCGTTCCACGTGCATCACCGCTGTGTGATGAATAGAGCCCAGGAAGCGGTCGTAGAATTCAAAAAGGCCCTCCGGGAGATTTTCCAGTATTGGGTTGGGCTCCTCGGCGAACTTAAATTTCGACAGCTCTAGAAGGAGAAGGAAAGCCAAGCGAAACCTTGCGAGGTCTAATGAGTGGGTGGCAAAGATCATGAATCGGACAAGTTGCTCACATTCCTTTGCTTTTCTCGACAACTGTCCTAGTAATTTCCGTGCTATGCTCTGTCCAATGTTTCAACTGGTCATTGGACTTGAGCTCGCTGGTGACGAATGCTGTGATGTCTTGCTGATTGCTCTCGACCTTGAGCGCAATGTGTACTAAATTTTTGAAGGCGGCCGCGAACTCGACACGGGGTTGGCTGGTGACGAGGAGATTCAACGGTTTTCTTCGCACCTCGAAGCCTCGAAATGAACCCAAGGAGGACTTGCAGATCTGTATCCTTGCATTCATCGAGTGCATCGAGGATAATATAAGTCCGACCGATCTCCAAGAGTAGTGTATCCAGAATCTCGAGGAGATTCAGATAGGGTGGAAGAGTCTGGCCATTGCATGCCTCGTACCACAGGTCAAGAGCCCCGTATGGATCATGAGATTGTGCGGACAGCTGCAATATGGTCGACCGAAGCATTATTTCCACGATTTGCTTCTTCTCATCCCTGAAGTCGAAGTAGAAATAGGCCACCGCAAACGCGGCGGGTGCCCGCGATCGAGTTTCGAATAGTTCCCGGATCACTGTGGAGCTGTATTGGTGGGATTTTGTCAGCCGATTTCGTACACTGCGCTAGTGAGCCTACCTCATCACACTCTTGCCCGCACCAGCTGTGATCAATGAGTTCGCTGAGTCGTGGCATTGCAGCGGCAACTCACATTGTCCTTCAATCCAGAGAGCTCCCGGATTCTCCTTCCATTCGGCGAACTGGCGACCGTTCAAGAACCACGCTCCCGTTCCCGGCTGATGGAGTGCCTGTGTTGCATTTTGTTTCTCCAACATATCGGGAGGGGATTGAAGCCATTTGCGAAGCTTTTCAGCGAGACTGGATTCAATTCAGCTTCCATATCATACAGAATGTAACTTGCATTGAACTGACGCTGAGAGTTGGACCTGGTCCAGTGCCTTCCGGATTCCATCCTGGCCTATCTGAAGATCGATCAGACGCTTGAACTAGCAGAGAGATCAGTACATAATAACATGGATTGCGGATGAAATTCACTCACATTGAAGCGGAGTGCGAATGAATCCAGGTCGCGCTCAAGGCCTGTAAATTTTGCTGTCCATTGCGCATGAGTCAACGTCGTCTTGAACCCGCCTTCAGCATCAAATTCGAAAACTAGTGCCGACGCCTTCTTGAGTAGCCTGGAGGGGCTGTGAGCTCTTTCGAGACCATCTGAGGCACGAGGAAAACTCTACTCAAAATATTCCTCGAGGTCCGCCTTCAGCCGCCCTGTACCCTCGACGTAGCTGCTCGCCTCCAGTCGCAAAACCGTCCCGCGGAGATCTCCAGTGAGTTTTGTATGCCGTCCGTAGAGGGTGTCTCTATTCTCATGGGTCTCTTTGACGTCCTGAGGAATATAAGTGAAATATTGAGAGTTTCTCGATTATCTAACACACCTTGTAGATTTTCAAAATCTGCGACACAAGAGCGGCAACGGGAGCCGCAAAAGGGACCCTGTCGACGATGTTCGCGATTTTCTCTATGAGGTTGACCGCAAGAGCGAGATTATCAACATTAGTCACGGAACTTTTACTGTTGGAGGGTGTGTCCGCGGAGGCTGGAGATAGGTGCGGGGGCTGTTGAGATTTCGGTGGCTCCGAGACCCCAGCCGACGCTGTATCGGCGGCAGTGGGTGTCGGTGTCTTCGCAGTGATTCTTGTTGGCACATTCATGGGGCGGCTCTTCTTTTTGCGACGACGAAGCGTTCCCATCAGCGCGCGGAGACAGCCTGGCGGCGCAGCATCCAGAGGGTTGTCGGCGGCCCGTGGGGCTTGAGAGTCAGATGGGAGTGCCTCTTGGACCGTAGTCTTGGTGGCCTTTGTTGATCTGGAGCTCATCTTCGTGGCGGTGAGGTGGCAGACAGCGTGGCGGTGCATTGATGGCAGGCGAAATACGTAAACCTGGGACCCGATTTAGGGGATAAGGTCAGTTAAAGCGGGAACGGGAAGGAGGGCTTCCTGCTTGGTTCTTGCCTGTCAAGGTCTCTCCACCGTTACCTTGCTGAGCAGGGTCTCTGGAACTTCATAATTGTCGCAGAAATCACTAACCCTTGACTAACCCCGGCCCAAACTCCAGATGAAGGGAGAGGACGAAATGAGGAAAAGAACGGCTCAAGCAAGGGTCAGTTCTTCAAATTCCAGTTCCACTACACATACTAATTACAACTCTGCGCTCGTGTCACTGTCATTCTCGTCCCGACTCACGCCGGCTTCAATGTCAATGCACGCCTTCAGCTGCGGAAACATCAACGCGCAATCACCACACGCTATCCCCAGCACGGCGCTGAGTCTTGCGCGCAAATCAAGGCAGAAACGAAATCTATTGAGGAGATAAAGACGCTAAGTACCGACTAGCCGTCGGCGCGAATGCCGCGAGCGGTGCGCGGCGCGGGGGCCCCGACCGTGAATGCTGCGAGCAGGGGACTCACGCTGGCGCTGCCGCGTCCGAGGACGCCTCAGCCGATTCGCAGAGCTGTACACCTGCGCACGCCCACCGCCCAACATCTCGCCCGCACGGGAACTTGGTATCTTCCCGCGCGCGATCGCCGTGACGGCCGTGCCGCGGTCCTCATGCTCGCACCACCCCGCCCTGCGCACAAGCGTCCCACCCCTCGCATCACTCACCGCATCGCCCGGTGCGTCTGTCTCCCCGCGCTGGCTTCGTTCGCACTTAGCCCATCCCCGCATGCCCACATCTCGCTAACCGCTCTGCTGCATGTCCGCGACTACAGGGACTCGGTGCCTCCCGCACGCGCTCCCCGCACCGCCCACGCCCCGCTGCCAGCCTGCTCCTCGGACGAGCACCCGATCCGCGCGTGCCTCGCTCACGACATCCCCGCCGCATCCCCGCGAGTACGGGGACATGCTGTCTCCCCGTGCGGGCTCTCCGAACCGCCCGCGCCGCGCCACTCCGCGTACTTGCACCCCATCCGCGCGCCTCGCTCACTGAATCCCCGCGAATAGGGCGACTCGGTGCCTCCCCGTACGCGCTCCCCGCACCACCCGCGCTGCGCCGCTCCTCATACCTGCACCCCCGCGCGAGCGCAAGGAGTCGCTGTCCTCCTCGGACCTGCACCCCCGAAGGCCGCGCGCGCACGTCGTACCGCGGGCGCCTCGCACTCACACTTGCACCCCCGGCCGCCGCCGCGTCGTCCACCGAGGGGGCGAAGCGCGGGGCGCTGACTCTTACCCTACTCGCCGCGCTTGCACTGGGACGACACGCGCGGCATGTCTGCGCGAGTAGGCGCTCGTGCAGAGGCGGGCACGGAACGCGCTCCGTCGTGAGGCAGAGAAGAGAGGGGAGCGTAGGTACCTGTTTGCGAACCCGCCGTAGGGACTTGAGAATGTAACGAGAAGAGTCGGTCCGCGTGGCCGAGGCGAGTACGGGGCGCGATCTGTGGAGCGGGACCACGACTCGCTGGGACATCAGAAGAAAAGGCGGGAAAGGAAGGGAGAGGGAACGCACCCAGAATCCCAGATATCCCATTCTCGTGCAGCGCAATCATCCACTGCAGGCCCTCGAGCTGGTAGTCCGTCAGTCGCGCACCGGCACCGACGACCACATCCGGAACGGCGCGGCCGAGCACGACGCGCTCGCTTCGGGCGTCTATGCGGGCGTCGCGGGCATCTCTGCGGGTGTCCAGGGCGTCGAGCTCGCCGGTGGCGACGACGACGACGATGAGTGGGTCTTCATGCGGGGTAAACAGAAAAATGATTTGATTTGTAATTTAAATTGACGCTTCCGACCGCATCACGTCACGTCACACAGCCCCTATCTCTCGTCCCTTTCCTTACGCTGCGATATCTTTTGGGTGAGCACGGACACGGGCTGGTAATGAGAGACCAATATTAATACTAAGCTAGATCATATGAACCACATGCCCTTGTCTTCCGATAGTTCAACGTTCAACCATTGACTCGGACACATTCAACGCCCAGAATGCTCATTTACTGAAGCACCCAACGAGGCAGAGGAAGGCTCGGTGGTGGACGATTCACACCTACATATCATAATAGCCCGAGTTCTCCCTCAATATGAGGGAGGAGCCCGTTCGACTCGGGCCCGAGCCATTCGTATCCCAAAGCGTACTTTTTTTCTCTCTCCACTTCTCGAAGTTTAACCATTTAAGCGTGGAGAGTGAAGGAGAAGCCTCTATCCCAGGGACAATATTGCTCGCCCGGACTGAACGTCCGTGCTCCGGAATTCAACCACACTTTTCTTTGTTACAGGTATAATCTAGGACTCGAGGGGATTGAGAACGGCTCGGTGGTGGATGGTCCACAACTGCATCATATAAACAATAACGTTACCGCGTACGAGGAGCCAATTTGACTTGGGCCCGAGCCATTGGTTATTGAGCAGAGCCAGTTTCTCCTCCGGTGTTCCAAAAGAAATAAAAGTGGCTTCGAAATTCAACTACACTCGAGCCGCCTTTCTCAACTCTCACTTGTATAACCAAGGAATTGAGGGGATTGAGAGCGGCTCGGTAGCGGAGGGTCCGCACCTGCCACATGCAGGAGGGCGTAAATGACTTTTAATCATGCAGGAGGAGCCCGTTCGACTCGGGCCCGAGCCATGAAGCGCTGGACACCCTCTTTTTTTCTTCTGCTTCCAGAGTTGCACTGTCATTCCATAAAACAAAGCGCTTGACGAGAAAGGAAAGGCTCTGTGGTGGATGGTCTCCACACCTGCAAATTATATACATCTTGTGTAGTGCTAGGCAGGAGCAGCCCGTTCGATTCGGGCCCGAGCCATAGGCGAGTCGCAATGACCTTTTTTCTTCCGCGCCTTGTATTATCTAAACTTAACAATGATGGACCCTCCGAAAAATGGGGGGACGAAATCAGGAAAGGAACGGCTCGGTGGTGGACGGTCCACGCCTACATACATACCATGTTATTTCCCGACACTTCTTCATTATGCAGGAGAAGCCCGTTCGAATCGGGACCGAGCGATAGAGTGTTGCACAGTTTTTTTCCTCTTCCGCTTCCAGAGTTGAACTGCCATCTAATAAAACAAGGCACTGCACAAACAAGGAAAGGCTTGGTGGCGGAAGGTCCACACCTACGAACTAAGGAAGATTTGGGGGAGGTATGCAGTTCTGCAGGAAGTACCCGTTCGACTCGGGCCCGAGCCATAACAGGTGTAATTTAATGTCCTTTTTTTCCCTCAGAATTCATCATCGATAATAAGACGAGGAACTCGCAATGTGTGGAGAGGCTCGGTGGTTGCGGTGAGTCGATGATGAAAGAATGTGGTAAGACAATTTACCTACTTCTGATTTCCCTAAGAATCAAGGACATCCGGTGAGTGAAGAGGTCGCAACATGTTTTGCATGCATACCCCAATAGATGACAGTTCGCCGCGAAAGATTGAGTGGGACGCCAGCTACGCCGCGAATCCGCGTATGCATACCAGAAAGAGTTGACAAAGACTGCGACGAGGGCGATGGCACACAGTCCGAGGGCGGATAGGAAGAGGTCTACCTACATACACGGAATTAGTGCCCTTGGGGTTCATCTTGGAGTACGTGAAGGCATGGCTGACCACGATGCCGCAGAGAATACCCGCCAGCCACAAGGGAATCGAGATTAAGCTGCACGAGAAAAAAGATCAAAACCACCAAAATCTAGCATGCGCACCCAAACTGGTTGTCGAATGCGCCCATGGTACCTCGGAGCTCGATGGGAAAAGGGTAGATGTCGACGCCAGCTTCGAACAGCGGTGCAAGTGTGAGACCCTAGCCTCAGCCAAGCCACGAGGCCCGATAGTTTTGGTGTATTTCAGTCTCGGCGTCCCAATCTCGTGGACAGCGCTAAAATATAGGGCCGGGTTTACATCGGGCGCGAAGCCGATGCATCGTTCGAAGCTTAAGGAATGGTCGAGCGCTGAGCAACTCTTGCGAAACAATGATAAACACCGTGAATAATAGAGAGCCAGAGGAGTCGCGACAGAGGGAATCAGAATTATTAAGATTGTCGTGTTTAACTGCTGTCCTCGTCCGAATGGTCTGCGTCGTCCGAACCGTCGGAGTTTTCCGAATCGTCCGAATCCCTAAATTCTTCGACCAAAGAGTAGACGCTCCCTGAAGGAACTCGGTCGACGCTCATCGATGATCCAGGGCCAACTCACGTGCGATTTCTCCGGAAATCCTCTTGGCGATGAACTCGTCCGCCCGAGCCCAGTAGTCCCTCCCAGTGAGGACACCCCTCTGCCAGTCTCCGCTGTAGTTTTTGAGAGGCATCACGACGAAGCGCGGTTCACGAGTGAAGCTGTCCCGCGGCAGGAGGAAGTCGGTTACCGGCATCTCGTCCACGATGATCAGCGCACGCAGGGATGTACATCCTTCGAGCAGATGAGGGCAGCTCGGGATGATATTGGGGGTGTCAACTGCCAGGTGGGGGAGGTGGATGAGCGCAGTGATGCCGTTCCATTTCGCAGGGTCCCCATTATCATCAGATAAGCCGTCGAAGAGTTCCGGGTGTGTGAGATGGCTGAAGAACGGTTGGGCGAACGATTCAAATGCGACGAGAGCTGCGCAGAGCTCTGACAAGTCACAATGCAGATGTCTCAGCGAGATGGGGTGGACTGCGGGAAGTGGGGGAGGGATTCGTGGACCAGTTGGGAGGATCCAGAGGTTTTCGACACCAGTACAAGTTATGAGGATGGTTGAAAAATTATGAACCTCAAGTTTCAAGTTTTAACCAAACCCCAAAGAAGAAAGCGAAACTATCCCACGTTGAATTTGACTTGAAGAAGAGCTGAACTGCCGTTCTAATAAAGCGAGGGAATCTAAAGGGCTCGATAAGCTCGGTGGTAGATGGTCCTCACCTCCAACCCGGGATTCGTCAAGTATATTATATTATGCAGGAGGATCCGATTCGTGCCCGAGCTCCTGTGAAGGTCAATGATCCTTTTTCCCGTGCTCGACGGGGTCGAGATCCTCTACTAATAAAACAATATTGTGAGAGCCGATATGCCTCGCAACTCGGGCGTCGCAGAATACGCATACGAATTGGGCACGGCCATATGGTCGCAGGCCTCTCAAAACGGAACCGTTCTAAGGCCACATGCGAACACAAATCGATAATACAGCTTTTGAAGCATGTATACGACGAGCTCAAACTTCTACCCGGACTCTCGGTCTTCAGATGCGCTACCAGAAATGGGGGGACCAACGAATCGATTTACGAGTGGTTTACAGTTTATTTCAGTCCGTACCAGTAAATCATCCTGGTTTGTGGTGTGAATCAGATTATAGGTGACGAAAGAAACATACAGCGGAAGTTATCACAGAAGATGAGCATCCGATTCCCACCCTGCAGAAAACGAGAGACGCACCATGAGGGATCACCATCCCGGACAGAGCGCTGAATCCAGCGAGGATGCACGCCTATGGAGGCCGGACGCGATGGGCGGGGCGGGGCCCTTGGGGAGAGGTAGGGGATGGGGGAGGTGTATACCGTCGCCAGAAGTGCCGCCGTTGACAACGATTTGGGTTCAATAGGACGCGGGAGGGGCGCGGAGGCCCGCCGGGGAGGCACGGCGAGTGTACATCTCGCGCGTGCGGGGACTTGGTCTCGGTATTTTGCGGCACGCAATCGCCGTAACGCCCGCGCCGCGCTCCTCATCCTCGCACTACTCCCACCCGGCGCACAAACGTCCCACGCGCGGTCGCATCGCTCACGGCATCGACCGGTGCATCGTCTCCCCGCGCTGACTTCGTTCGCGTCCAGTCCGTCCCCTCACGCCCACATCTCGCTAACTGCTCTGCTGCATGTCCGCGAGTACGGAACTTGGCGCCTCACCGCGCGCGCTCCCCGCGCCGCCCGCGCCGCGCTCCTCCTCGGATTTGCACCCCATCCGCACGCCTCGCTCACCGCATCCCCACGAGTATGGGGACACGACGCCTCCCCCCATGCGCTCTCCGTACCGCCGGCGCCGCGCTGTTCCTCGTACCACCCATCGGCGCGCCACGCTCACCGCATCCCCGCGAGCACGGGGACACGATGTCTCCCCGCGCGCGCTCCCCGCATCACCCGCACCGCGCTCCTCCTCCGCACGCTGCACCGCGGGCGTCTCGCACTCGCACTTGCACCCCCGGCCGCCGCCACGTCGTTCACCACGCGAGCGCGTGGGCGCGGAGCGCGGGGCGCTGGCTTCGTACCCGACTCGCCGCCCCGACACCCGCCGCAGGTCTGCACGAGTAGGCGCTCGTGCAGAGGCGGGCAAGGAACGTGCTCCGTCCTCCCGACGACGCACGTGCTGACGTGAGGCAGAGAAGAGAGGGGGGCGTACGTACCTGTATGCGAGCCCGGCGCAGGGACTTGAGAATGTAAGTACATAAGGGTTAGAGTAAGCATGTAAGGTTTCGCACCTTGAAACGCCAGTGAATGAGGCCTGCGGGGCGCACGCGCCGAGCCTGACAAGAGTCGATCCGCGTGTCCGATGCGAGTACGGGGCGCGATCCAGGGAATAAATGAGGGGCGGGACTACGCGGTACGTGATCAAAAGAAAAGGCGGCCAAGGAAGGAAGGGAGAATGCACCAAGAATCCCAGAGATGCCATTCTCGTGCAGCGCAACGATCCACTGCAGGCCCTCGAGCTGGTAGTCCTTCAGCCGCGCGCCGGCACCGACGACCACATGCGGAACGGCGCGGCCGAGCACGACGCGCTCGCTTCGGGTGTCTATGTGGGCATCGCGGCGGACGTCTCCACGGGTGGCTCTCTGAGGGCATCCAGGGTGTCGAGCTCACAGTTGGCGACGACGACGACGAAGAGTAGGTCGCCATGCTGGCAGTACTAGTCATCACCAAAAGTGTCCAAATGTGGCTAGGCCTCGTGACTTTGCCAAGGCCAATCAAGGGAGCTCGAGGCCTTGGACGCGTCTACCAAGGTCTTTGCAACGCGTCTCTAGGCCTGGGAACCCCTCGACAGCGACCTTCCAGCCTCGGGTGCAACTTCCGACGGGCACGCAAGGGCTCTCCCGGCGCCCACGGCTCATACTCCGCCAAAATTTTCGCTGCTCGGGCACCTTTCTACGCTTGATCTATGAAACCTGGCGTCATCTTTATTCTATTTATTTTCACTTTACTCCGATTCATGGCCATCTGCGAATTCTGTCGTGGTTCCTTTTCCGAAGGCAGGGGGATACGCGCACATTTAAACAAATGCGGCGCGAAAAAAGAGCGCTTGGCCCACTCTACTGCCCAAGCAGTCGCGCAAGAAAATGCGAGGATTGCGAGGATTGCAGCTGAAGCTGAGGCTGCCAGTGCAGCTCTCGCCGCAGCCCCACAGAATTATTTCGAAGAGGTAAATTCGTTTCGGGCAATTAATTTATGGGACTCGTCTAATATCCCAGCGTAGCCGCAGCCTGAACCCCCGCGCGCGCCGAGCCCACTACCACCCGGCCCTAACGGTCGTCCCCGCCGCCACACCCGACGTCCGGCGAGATTTGTATATCAAGATGACCCGCCCGAGCCGCCCACCCCGATTCCAGAACTCCCGCAGGAAGAGCCACCAATTCCTGATGCAACAATTCCGGAAATTCTCCCTCGCACATGGGTGAGGACGGAG